TGTGGTGGGGTGGGGGGGGGGGGTGGGGGGGGGGTGTGGGGGGTGGGGGGTGGGGGGGGGGGTGGGGGTGGTGGGGGGGGGGGGGTGGGGGGGGTGGGTGGGGGGGGGTGGGGGGGGGGGGGGGGGGGGGGGGGGGGGGGGGGGGGGGGGGGGGGGGGGGGGGGGGGGGGGGGGGGGGAAGGGAGGGTGAGAGGAACGGAAGGTAGGGAGGCGACGGAGGGGCTGTAGTTGAGAGGGGGTGGTTGGACGGAGAGGAAGGGTGCCGCGACGTCGTGCGCCGGCAGGATGGGATTTAATCTGTGTCCCGTTTCACGCTCAGCCAAGTGGAACCTTTTTGCCTCACTTTGCGGCATGACTCGCTTTTGCGCTGGTCGTCGCGTAGATTAACGCGAAATTATATATAAAGAATGTGTGCGGACGGCGTGTGCACGGGTCGTCGGTGCCGCTGTGCTACGGACGATTCGCTCTCCTCGCGCGAGACGAGAGAGAAACAAGGAGGAAAGGATAGGAGCGGAGCTAGTAGAGGGAGAGAGAAAGCCTTCTACTTTGTGCGTTCCTCCAGCCGGTTTCTCTTTCGCCGTGTATGTATGCGTCCGAGTCACACCCTCTTTGTAATGAATTAAAACTGGTGAAAAACCAGCGACGGGTTTGTGTCGTCCCACAAAGCGGAGACGACGGCGTGTTCTCGCGGCGACGCGACGCGACGTCGGGATTTCGATGCCCCCAACCGTTTATTTTTACGACACACGAGTTTCACAGTAAAAGCAGCGGCCCCCGCGAGGGGATCGGGCAACCATATCGATGGAACAATCTTGAGTTTTGCTCGATTTCCTAGGTCGTGATTTTCAATATATGTATTTCCGAGGACGTTAGGAGAAAAAAAAACATGTTGATGATTGTTTAAGATAGATTTCTATAGGAGGCTTGGAGAGGATTTCTTAGACCGTGCGTTGTGCCCATCATTAAATTATTTATCGTGCGAGGCAAAGGCAGTTTGATGCGCGAACCGATCGCGTAACAGTAACGGTTTATATGGCAACATCTTGCTGGCATAAAGAAGAATGTGTTCCTTTGCGAGAGATAATCTTCTTTCTCGCTGAATGAAAGAACTCTGTATGATTAGATAGTCGGTAACAGGCACGAATGTTCAGACCCAGTGTTATGTTAGAATATGGCGTGTGATGTGCCAGGAAATGTTTCCCGTGATTTTTGCGTTACACGCATCGAAAAATTGTGCGTGTCGTTTGTAAATACACTTACATACGTGGGTATTCGCGTGGCTGCCGAATGAATATTCATCGAGTGCTCGCAAGGTGAAGCGGGGTTTTCGAAGGATAGCCGTCATTTTAATCGGATCAAGAAAAAAGTCTTAACGTTATGTCGTTATCGTTTCTTTTACGCAGCATGCATAATTGAATAGACATTGCGCCTCCATTCAAAGTCCACCATCGCTTTCAGTGCTGTCATCAAAGTACCCTGTAGAAATGCCTATTATCCATTAACATATCTCCATTTTTTTATGCAAAGTTCTCGTTTGCCTTGCCCCTTAAAGACATACGTTCAGATAGGGTCCCGAGATAACGATTAATAAACTAAGCCTTAGCGATTTTATTTCATGAATCCGTACGATTATGTGTGTGTTTTTTGACGAGTTTCACTTTTGAAAGTTACGTTCGATATAAAGACAACTTTCGATAGCGTGCATATGATGAGAGTTTAAATTTAGCGATATTAAGTACTTTATCAAACGTCTAATTTAGTAACTTCGTCATGATAAACAGCTAGGTGGAGAAAACAGAGAACGATCGATTGCAAATTATCTAAATGCTTAGCCAAGAATGAATTCGTACCGCCACACGACACAGTACTATATACAATGCATTCGTTCAGGTATTAACAGAAATTAGTCGAAAATAATATTTATTTCCTTCAAGTTCCGTGCCTTTACCTTTGAAATTTATCATTAATTCAATTCTACCAGGAACATGCATATAAAAAAACGAGAGAACAGCAAACGAGTACCTTTGTAGCCGTCTTTTGCCAGTTCTTTCAAAAATAAAAAGAAATCGCGATATTTCCGGCATTGTGTTTGCAGTAATATAATATCGCGAAGCGGCAGGGTATTCGAGGAAGGAAAAGTGACAGATAGTTGTAGAGGCGGAAACACGCCCACTTTGAGCGTAAAATAAGCACGAAACGCGTGGAATTTCGGCCCTCTCGTGATGCCGGGGAAAGGCTGATGAGAACGCGTGGTGTGCCTGCGACGTTACACACAAAGTGGTTTCATACGGTGCCGCAGCGCCACGGCAAACCATTCAAATTGCGTTTCAACTATTTCTTGTCGTTTTGCGCCGCGCAAAAGCAGGAGATTAATTAAATTCGTTAATTGCAAGATGCATTTAGCGCGAGCAGCAATGCCAAGTACGGCAGCCGCGCTGTAGTCCCTGCGCCCAGCCGTGTGCACCCCGTAGTCACGGCTGCAAGGTTCGTTCCGCCCTTATTCTTCGCACGCTGTCGGCGTTAGCACGTAAATTTAGAGAAAGGTCGGCGACAAAAGAGCAAAAGGCCCACTTTGCACGTCCACCCCGTTATGTTTCTTCGTGCCCTGTAAAACCATGTAGATTCTTTGGCGGCGGGAACGTTAACGTTAACGTCCTTCGAGGGTGGCGCTTCGTTCAAATCGTTTCGTTTTCCTGCTAATGGCAACGCGAAATAACGTTGTTCTTTCTTGTATTTTACAGCATTCTCTTTTTTAAATTCCTTTTTATTATTTTTCTTTTATTATTTTGTTTTTGAAAATACATCTTGTTCAATGGTGGAAGTACCGCGCGTGAATAGTCTGATCATTTGCAATCGTTTGTCATGTTATTCCTACTGCGTTCCTTCATTTTAGGCCCAATTATATCTTTAAAAAATTATTAATGGTATGCACGATTTGACGCATTCATCGCAACGGTGGTTTATTAAAACGCGCATTCACCGTAATAACACAGAGTTATTATTAAATACAGATTCTTTGGTGGTGGGAATGTTAACGTCCTTCAATGCTAGCCTTTGTCTCCTGTTCTTTTTACCCGTCCTTTTATAAATTCATTTTTACCGTTTTATTTTTGAAAATATATTTTGATAAATCGCCGAGGTACGTGCGCGAATGGCCTGATTATTTGCAGTCGTTTATCTTGTTAAATTTAACAAAAGTCTATTGATTTTTACGAACGCGTGTCATCGAAAAACGAGTTAATTGTGGTTTCGGCTATTTTCATCGATTAACCAATGCAAATATTGCCAGTGTACTCTTTAGTGTTTGGAATTGTACCTCCGCAATTGTAGGCAGTTACAATCGTTCCGACTGTGTTGCGTAACGGAATTAACAATGGCGCTCCTTTTTTTTTTTTAAAATATTCATCGTCTACAATTGACTCGCGTTCTATGCGCATTGTAATTATTAAAAGTCGCGAATATTTGCGTTTATCTTATGCAAATTGTTACACGATTTACAACAAGTTCAACGTTACTGTTATTTGTAGTTCTGCCTTCCATTTTAACGATCACATGGCGTATACGCCATATATTATTCTGGAACAGTACACGTACGAGGATTAACCTTCTGCGGTCCAACTGTATCTTCCAGGCAGTTTCAAGCGCCATGATTCTACGTCTCCAGAAACATTAACTACGGAATAACACGCAGAAGAATACATGCATTTTTGTCTGTGTCATTTTATAATCGAGATATATTCTTACCTTTCCTATATACCATTGCATATCTCTTTTTAGGAAATTTAAATAAGAATATATAAGACATCCATCTGGCTAAAAACTTCTGCACGCTACCGTATTTTAACCACTTTAACCCGTTCCACAGAACGACTATTTAAAAATTTGATGAAAAAAAAAGATATTAATTACCAACGAAACATTAATTTTCGAATCACAGGTATTAAACGTTTATTAGAAATCCTCTTTCATCAATATCAATTCTATTCCTCTCCCCCCCCCCTCCTCTTTCCAAAAAAAACAAAATCCGCTACGCATCGATATTTGGTCGTGTGAAAGGAATTAATTGTTCAGTGGAAAATCGAATTTCTGATCTTCAATCCATGACGTTAGTAGCCGCATTATATCGAGAACTGGATCGACAATGTGGTGATTATCAGTAGCACACGGTTCGTCATCGCCTATGTATGTCCACGACGATGTTGATGACGATGCATGCGGTGCAATCAGACTAATAAGAACGTGGACGATGCGTACGCGTGGATACATATGGGTTGGTGTTTATCCAACCAGACACTCCGGCTAAGTGACAGAATACACATTGCGCGCGTTTTGATTCACAGAGGAGGACTTGATGCACGGGGGTGGTGCGGGTATTGGCGGGGGTTCTATGGTCGGACAGAACTCAATATTTGGGTGCTCGGCTGCAGGACACAGCGGGGTTAACCAGCTTGGCGGTGTTTACGTCAACGGCCGACCATTACCAGACTCGACAAGGCAGAAGATCGTCGAACTGGCCCACAGTGGTGCTAGGCCCTGCGACATCTCGCGCATACTGCAAGTCAGCAATGGATGCGTTTCCAAGATCCTCGGCAGGTCAGTCATGGAGGATCATCGTTCAGGACGAAAGACTTTGAGAAACTTTGATATAACATTCGTATGATTGTCAAAAGATTAAAGTAATTCTGAATTGGCTAGGAATCTTATAATTTCGAAAGAGACTGACTCTTTTTTATTTTGTATTTTATTATTGTCCTCTTTTCTTTATTATAACTTAGATGAATAAATATTTTAATTATTTTTTCAAGAAATTGATTTGCTCTTTAGGTATTACGAGACTGGTTCGATCAAACCACGTGCAATCGGTGGTAGCAAGCCACGCGTAGCGACCACACCAGTGGTGAACAAAATTGCCGACTACAAACGAGAATGCCCGTCGATTTTTGCCTGGGAGATCCGTGATCGACTGCTGCAGGAAGGTGTTTGCAACAACGACAACATTCCAAGCGTAAGTACAAAATATTTGTGGATACAGTGGTTTCGCTTGAAAATATCTTAAGATTCACTTCAAGCATAGCCTGACGCGATTTAAGAAAAAGTCACAGGTCCAAAAAATTTCCGAAATTTTCTAAGGAACCTGTTACAAAATGTCTTACATGAAACTATTACTTAATACATGTAACAATTAATAAGAAATATCATGCAAGTATTTATCTCAACATACAGATTATTCCAAAACATTCAGAAACCTTGAACTATCTCAAATAATCTGGAAATAATATTTCAAATATAACTTCGATGTATCCGCAGAAATCCAAATCAATCTGAGAAACGCTTGCTCGGCATGACCGATAAACAAGTGCAATCAGTGGCAACAGGCTTCAAATTCTTCTTTCCTTTGCTCTTCAAACTCAAAACTCTCGGCTTTGAACCAACTCACGTACAAACACTTGGGCAACTTCATCGAAAGTCATTCCATCGGTGCTCTCAAACGCACCAGCATTCCACTTTTATTCCACTCTCATTCCAACGCGCAATTAGCAAATGACCGTGCACCGCTGCCAATTCCAGCAGAGGAAGAAAAGCGCAATGACTCCGGGGGCAGGAGTCGCGTTCCAAGCGTTTGCGTGGGGAGATCCAGCAACGGGATGCTCATTCGCTTAGACACGGAGTTGCTTTGTATGGTGGCGGCGGTTTATCAGGGTGCGCAGCCGGGTCGGTACTTACCCGTCGGATCTGGCCACTCGACCCTAATCAAAGTCTCGTCAATACGATCGGTTGGGAGGGGTAATCGGTCCATTACGCGGGCCTCGGTATTGTCCACCCTCTGGTCCTGCTAGTCGTTTCCCCTCTTCTTCCCAAGAATCCTCGGTCCGTCTTCCAAACATCCTTCCCACCCTCGCGAATATCGATATTCCATGGTCTTCTCCGCAATCCCCTGAAACAGTGTTTCCCAACCTTCTTTCGCATAATTTCAAATGTAACATTTAACACGTTGGTTATCGCGATAGATAGATCCGCAGTGAATTCTCCGTCATGTTGTGCTGCTCGCGACAGCCAACGTGTTAATTAAATACTAAAAAATATCGGTAGCGACATTCCGAACAAATTGGCGATCTCCTTCTATGATAGTCAGACAAACTGCAACTCCTTGCCTAAATGTAAAAGCAAAAGGACCTTTTGTAGTAAGATAAAGAAAATGCATAGGAGAAAAATATATAATTTTTGGTTTAATATTTAAATGGCACTTCGCGGTACGTTTAAAAGATACGATCCAAAAATTGGGAACCTGAGCTCTGAAACCATTTCTCCTCTTATTCGATGTATCCCCAGCACGTTCGATCTGTCGTGACGAGGAATATTTCGAAAAGTCGTGTCTTTCCTCTAGGAGAGGTCTTCTTTCGAAAAGAACCGCCGTTTCCCTCGACCATCCCCTTACGATTCCGGGTGTCTGTCAGGAATACCGAGGGGGACGGCACGCGTACGAGTCGTTATCCGTCGGCTCGCGAAGGAACCGTTCGTTTCTATCGGTTCTTTGGGAACAGAGCTTTGCCTCGTTCACCTAGTGAAGGGGATGGTGATCAATCAGCGTGGTTACACACAGAGACCCGTTCTCTTCTGCCGATGCTTATCCGACGACAATATTCGGGAAAGGAATCTGGTTCGATCGAACACGCGAAACGTTGTTTCAGCTTTTAATGCTGGGATCGTTATAATGATCACACAGCCTGGTTTTGTAGGTGTAACGTACAGGGTGCTGGCAGAAGAACAGGTTCGTGATGGAATTGTCTGTTGTCTGTCGAATCGTTGACGGTGGAGGGAATATATATTGAGAGTGAGGAAATCTCGATATTGTGTGTGTGTGTGTATGTGTGTTACCATTTTGATCGGTCGATCAGTTTTGTGAAATATTCGAGGAAAATCTCTCTGATCTCGCAGTGGATGTACGATGATAATTGGGAAGAACTGCGAATGATGCTGGAATTCGATCTGGATTTATTCTAGATTGTGTTTTATATCGCATATATGCTACTGATTAATGACGACTAACTCTGAAGAAAATTATTAATATTAAATTATATCGTTGACATTATCCAGCATTCGTTTGAAATATTTTGTTACGTAGCAAGTATACAATTTTTAAGCAACTTGGGATCACTCAGTTTAGAGATTCACGCTGCATAGACATAAAACTATTCTATTGAGTGTTTTTGGCAATTATCGGAATCGCTTAAGATATTATCGGATACTATAAACCATTTCCGATATATCTTAATATGAATAAATATCTCCTTCATGGAATTTTACAAACCGCCAATAGCAAGCCTCGATATCCTCATAAGAAATATTTCATGATAATCGATATTTCCGAAATATTCAGGATAGCGACGTAAAAAGGAAATTTCTTTCTAACATCATTGTTAAACTATCGAACTTTAACATTACTCTCCAATAAAAAGCACAAAATATAACTTATCATGCTTTCTCCTATACTTTTCAACTGTGCATGCTTTACAATTCCATCCATAACCCATAACTTGAAGAATATCTTTAAAACTTCTCTGAATTCTTTCCCATCAGCCAATGCCATTCAATTCCTGAAACCAATTCAAACCAAGCCAAAGCAAAACCTGGGCAACGAGATTGACGAAACGGAATTGGTACTCTCGACAGTTAATAGATCAATAGTCGTTCCAGAGGAATCTTCGATCGGGTTCATCGATGACGACGACGACTGTCTCGTGAAACGGCAACGACGTTAACAGTAATGATAGCAATGACGATGATGGTAGTGGTGGTAGCCGTTGGTTGTTGCGGTGGGTACATATCGTCCGCGGCAATGGGGTGCGACGGGGTTAGTCGCCGACGAGCGGATGGAAGCGGGTAGAATCAGGGTGAATGGGATCAGTTAAGCGTGTTGCACAATTATTCGTGTCCGGTCGCGCGTGTAATGGTCTGCATCGGTGCTGCGGCTGTTGTGCGGCGAGAGCCGAGTGGAGCGGAGCGTAGAACAGCCAGGTTGCTTGGTTTGATGATGGAAAGCCTAGCCTGGCTGCCTCTGAAACTCTCTCTCTACCTTTCTCTCTCTCTGGATGCTGTATGCAGTTAGTTTAGAAACGTCCTTTCCTCTCGTCCTCTCCCGCAGCCATTATTCCGCAGGATTGAGACGAATCTTGCGATACGAACTTTCCACGCTGTCTACTGCTGCGAGTTTACCACCCTCCTTCCTCGTTCGATTGATTCCGGTTAAGGAACACGCGGTTCCGCATTACGTCGAGCTTCGTTCGTTTCGAACTGGTCGATGGATTTGTACAATTTCGTAAGAAACTATTATGTTATAGCATGATGTGCGAGAGAATCTTCCAAGGTGAAATCGATCAAGTTCGCTTTCCATAAATTTCGTAATTTTATGAACTAAGTACATACGTGATTAATATTCAATTTGTGGAAAAAATACAAATAAACGACTTACTTCCATGAAAGTCGATCATACATTCCAAAGTGAATTTAGATAATTGTTTGTGCCGTTATCGTGTTCCTCTGTCTTTCAATATATAGAGTTGATCAGTTGATATGGCTTGTGAATGACTCATGTAGAATTTTATCGAAGTTAAGTGGAATCTTTGATATTGTAAGAAGCGTTTTAACGCGATTCAACCAATGTTCTTAATATAATTTTCCCACTGATGACGTACTTACTTTCCCTCTATAGCACACCCTTAATTTTAACCGATTAAACGACTCTATACGCGTTACACTTGAATTATTTACATGTCACTTAAAGATTCGATTGCCATCGTGTGCGTTAAACGTGTTTCGCTTGTTACAAAGCTAAGATTACTTGTTCCTATCGCCGCGTGCTCCAACATCGATCTCGTCGAGGCGGCAAACAAAAAGCTCGATTGAATTTACCGGCTTTTATTCCACGTAATAACTCGTACTCCTCTCCTATACACACATATATTTGACCTGTACAGCCTTCAGTACATACGCAGAATACTCGAGGCAACAACGTCGTTGGCACCCGACGGCATACAGCCATTATTTCCAGCAGAGGTCTTAAGTCGAGCCACACGCGAGAAGGATCGGCTTTTACTCTCTCTCTCTCTCTCTCTCTCTCTCTCTCTCTCTCTCTCTCTCTCTCTCTCTCTCTCTCTCTCTCTCTCTCTCTCTCTCTCTCTCTCTCTCTCTCTCTCTCTCTCTCTCTCTCTCTCTCTCTCTCTCTCTCTCTCTCTCTCTCTCTCTCTCTCTCTCTCTCTCTCTCTCTCTCTCTCTCTCTCTCTCTCTCTCTCTCTCTCTCTCTCTCTCTCTCTCTCTCTCTCTCTCTCTCTCTCTCTCTCTCTCTCTCTCTCTCTCTCTCTCTCTCTCTCTCTCTCTCTCTCTCTCTCTCTCTCTCTCTCTCTCTCTCTCTCTCTCTCTCTCTCTCTCTCTCTCTCTCTCTCTCTCTCTCTCTCTCTCTCTCTCTCTCTCTCTCTCTCTCTCTCTCTCTCTCTCTCTCTCTCTCTCTCTCTCTCTCTCTCTCTCTCTCTCTCTCTCTCTCTCTCTCTTACCTTTCCTCTCTTTCCTTTTTTCCCCTCTCTCATAGAACCTTTCAGCGAAAGCCTAGTAATTAAGAAGCTCCGCTCGATATCCTCCATCCACATCGAAGCAAGCCAAGGGATCCATGGGAGAAGTGCAGCGCAAAGAGAGAGAGAGGCAGAGGGAGAGAGTTCGGCTATGTTCGACTCGCTGCTTGCTGCACCATCGACGAGTCGATGTTTTGGGGGATGAGGTTGCACAAGGGGCGGTTCGGGGGGTGCAGAACGGGAGAGATTGAGCGCGCGTAGAACACCGAGACTATTATGTGCGAGAGTCGAGAGTACAAGGCTCGCCCCCGTGGCTCGTTATAACTTTAGAGTTAGCCAGTGGTTCGGTCGCGGTACAAGGTGAAGAAGACCGCGTTACCACCGCGCTGGTTAGGGGAGCGAAGAGCCATGGAAACCGTTTTATGTAATAATAATTGGATGGCGGTGTCCTTTCATCTGCTAGTCGCTCCCTCAGCGTGAAGGTCGGCAAAGAGAACGCAAAAGAAAGAGATGATGGGAAGCGGTGAACGAGAGACAACCGATGTAACTATGGAAATGATTGTCGCGAGCGGCTAGCAAAGAACCAGATGAAACTTTCAAAAGTTTCCTCTGCTCTTCTCATCTTTTTCTCTTTTGTTTTGTTTCTTGCTCGAGCTTGCCACTCGCCGCTTTTCTTCGCTCGTCGGACATTAATTCGGCGCCAATTGCATCTCAGTGTTGTGGTTGTAGCGGCACGTGAGCCAACGGAAGGTTTGGATCAGGAGAGACTCATATTATTGTGGTTTGGAGTACCAACGTTGTTTTGCTTTGCTAGGTTCAAAGGTAAACGAACTTCGGACAAAATATTATTGCCGTTATTTGTAATCGTCAACCGTAGTTACATTTGAACTTTTTATAATAATACTGGTCGATACAAATAGATGAACGTGCTCTCTAGGTGAAGCACATAGCCGAATAGCGAGCGTATAGCTGAACAATAGGATTGATTATAACTGGCATACACTATTCCTGTACTTGTACTTACAGTAATTTTAATATAATTAACTATTACAATCTTATCACTCGTCTCTTTAATAAAACAACACGTTTAATAATAAACCACCTCATGGTAATCGATCGAATGATCGTCACTTTGTTATTATGAATGATACTAGGTCCGTTACGCGATTGGATCGATGTGGATTTCGTTATTTTTGTTAGTAACTAATTCATTTATTAATAACGATCGATTGCGTCGAGCATTTTATGGGACAATTTTCCAAAAACTACTAGCATTCGGTAAACCAAAAACCAATCAGTTTTACGATATGACCAAACTTACAGCAAACAAACTACTTTCAATCTGGACCACTGTTACAGTTACGTGTTAGTGTTCTAACAACGATTGGTCCTTGCCGAGCAATCCTCTGTACCAAGCTACGATACTCCCTTGTAAATTAAAAATCAAATGCCACTGCCGAACGATACCACGTAACTTACAACGAACAAACTTTTTTCAACTCCGTGTGCCACCTATCCACCACAATATATTTGCGTTCTACTAATGATTGATTCTGGACAAACAGGCCTCTACGTCAATCTACGATACACTGTTCTACGAAATATTACCGTTCAAAAAAACCAGAAACTGAAAACTCAATTTACTTCCTCTCGCACTGTTTTTATTATCGTTGCATTCTTCACCGTTCATTGCTATTATACTTTACTATCATTGCCAGAAGCCCAATCATCGATACCATTTAATCTGCAACAAGTTCAAAGTTCTTCGAAGCTTTTTTTGCTAGCTGTCGTTACTTCTATCCGCTCGCTTGCTAATAGCAATTAATGTACTATTCGCAGGTGTCGTCCATCAACAGGGTGCTGAGGAACCTGGCCTCGCAGAAGGAGCAACAGGCTGCGGCGGTGCAGGCGCATCAGGGTGCCGAGAGCGTGTACGATAAGCTTCGGATGTTCAATGGGCAGGCTGCAGGCTGGCCACCGGCTTGGTATTCCGCTACGCCCTCTCATCATCCCTTGGCCACTGGAATTCCAACGGCAGCGACCCCCGGCTCTGGCCAGTCGCTGCTGCCCGGCAGCCAGCTTCATGGTCGAGACGATTCTCTGCTCAAACGAAGCGGTGAGTCCCAATTATACGTTAATTGCTAAATGTAACGCACGACATCCCACGTTCCTTGTTCACGTGTCGCTTCGAAGGACTTCATTTCATCTCTTGTCATTGTTTTTAACGCTGCGACTATAACGTGTAAAAGAGCTTGAGGTACGAAACTTGTATAGTTTGACAAAAAAAAAAAAAAAAAAAAAAATTA